AAAGGGAAAGGGAAAGGGAAGGGAAAGGGAAAGGGAAAGAGGAAGGGGAAGGGAAGGGGAAGGGAAGGGGAAGGGAAGGGGAAGGGAAGGCTTGCTCTAGATTTTGACATTCTTATGGGCCCACATTTTAAAGCTCTCAGTATAGGTACTTGTTCCATTCTAGTACTACATGGGCAAAATTATTCTCCATAATAATTATTGTTTTTACAGGCCTGCTGAAATGAAGAAATTTTAAAAGCAATTAGCTTAAAATTACTCTAGTCATGCAATTACCCATACACTAAATATATGCTACCCTTGGGTTTATAAAGGAGCCATTTGCCAAAATAAGTGACACATTTAGATGGTAGGTTGTTTTCCCCTCAAGTGTATAAGGTTCAGATGCAGCTACAGATAAGAAGCAGGCCTTTATGAGATGGGTTAGCTTGAAGCTTAATTCTGGGCTATAATCCTAGTCTTGATTTACTTATTGTCATGCAAATGGAATCCTGCTAGTTTTCTTTATGGGTTGAAAACTTTTTCTAAATTACCCTGGGCAGAAATCTGGTATGGAAGTTCAAAGAACACAGCCCTCCTATTATTTACATCTCCTTCTATATTCAATTATGCCCATTTATTTGTCACCCTAAGGTACTGGGAAAGGGGAGTGGGGCTGAGGCAATGGAAAGACCCTGTCTGAATAATCAGTGACTTGGTTTGTGCAGGAGATTTAATAGACATCATCCAAAATGGGGACATGGGGTCATGATGTGAAATTTGAACGAGGAGGTAAGCAGAGAAGGCCAAGTCAAAGAATGCTATATTAAAGTTCATGGGCAAAATTTCTAGATAACATCACAAATTTGAGTTCATGGAAATCAAAATCTCAAGTCATTACACAGATGAATGGAGATTAAAGATTTCAGAGTTTTTAGAGCAAATGATCATGTTCTCCATCTTCCTAGTGACAATTGTTTTGCATATTGAGTACATTGTAAAATGATGACTTTCCCGTAAGAAGCACATACATCAAAATGAAACATAAGTACACACAAGTGTGACACATAGTCACACATACACATACAATATACAAAAATAAGCAAGTATGGTTCATTATTCCAGGAAAAGAGCTCCTCAGATAGAGGTGTTCCAAATCAAAGCAAAACAAACAAACAACTCTGAACTTATTTTCAAAGGAGGTGTCTTTACCATAGTTCTTGTTTTCAGCACTTCATACTCATCTCTTTTTAGTTTTAGTCCATCTTCTGAGAATTCAAGACTAAGTAAAATTCTCACTTGACATATTGAGTGTTAAGTTTTTATTATTGTTGTTGTTATTTGTGTGTTTCATAGGTTGGTGGGGAGTGCGATTTCTGACAGAAATAATTAGAGATTTATTCTTCAATGGGCAAAATCTCATTTTGGTTTCTACTAAAGCAGTTTCACTGGCTAACAGCGAAAGCATATTCCTGCTTCTCACAGAACCACTCAAGATAGCTCTTTGCTAATCTTAAAGTTTTCTCCTCCCCTTTCCTGGGAAAAAGCACAATAATCACCAGTGGCAGATATTACAATAAACTATGCAACTCACGACTCTTGTTTTGTTTTTGGTTTGCTTTTGTTTTACACATAATTAAGTCTAATAAATTCCAAAAGAAGCCCAAATCTTCCTATCAGACTAACACGTACCTTAACTTGTAAGTTATTATCTTTTTTGTTTTGTTTCATTTTTCCTTCAGCAAAGGCTTTATTTATCAGAAGGGCATTATGCTTGACCTCCAAATTTGGCTGACAATTTGCTGATAAGATTCATAACCTTTGGGTTGCTCTGGTATTTTGACATATTTGCTGGGTTCTGAGCCACATCCTGGAAGGCCACCATAACTTCTGGATCCTGCATGGCTGCAAGAACCTCTGGATCACTAAGAATTTCATTGAGTTCAGGCATTCTGGCCATTCCAGGCATGCCCCCTCCCATTCCAGGCATTCCTCCGGGAAAACCACCAGGCATTCCCCCAGGAAAACCACCTGGAAAAGAGCCATACTGAGCTCCTGACTGTCGTCTGGCTTCTTCCTCCCTCTGGGCTCTCTCATGCTCTTCTCGAGCCTTCTTAACTCTTTCTATTCTTTCTTTGATCTCTCGCTCTTCACGTTTTCGCTCATACTTTCTCCGATGTTCTGCAATTTTCTGTGCCCTAGGTTGAACTTCTTTCAGCATTGCACTCGCATCTTCATCATAATCCAGTTTACAGGCAGGGGCAAGATCATGGGCTGCTTCTTCCCAGTGGCCTAGAAGTCTGTGTGCTTTCCCTCACCACTTGTAAGGCTGAGCTGAATCAGGATTTATTACAATGGCTCTGTCACAGTCTCAGATGGCAGCATTTGGCTTCTGTAATTTGACGAAGACACTGGCCATCTTGGCATACAAAATGGCCAAGCGAGGATTCAGCTTGATGGCATCTGTGAATAAGTCAATGGCTTTCTGCAATTCACCATCATTTAGGGCTTCAATAGCAACCACTTTCTTATCATTTGCCTGATCTATCATCTCCTCTGTTATCTTTGCATTTTCATCTCCCATTTCTTGAGGGGTGTCAGTGTCTGGTTCAATCACACCTTCATTATCAATTTCTAGATCACTTTCCTCACTTGATGGTTCGTCTGCCTTTAAGTCTTCCTCTACCTTCTTACTATCAGGTTTTTCTTCCTTGGTGTTTTTTTCTGATTTAGCTTTCTGAGTAGCAGGTGGTATTTTACCCCCCATACTCTCCACCCACTCGCTCAGGAAGTGCATTTCTTCGGTGTGCAGAATGCTTGGATCCTGCCTACACATCTTCACAAAGGCCCGAAGCTCGTTCGCTTTGCGGGGGTCCATGGTCAGGAGGTGGTGGGCGAAGCTAAGGGTCTGCGGCCCACTTCCAGGCCGAGGTGCTGCCTCAGCGTTTATCTGTTTCCAGCCATTGAACTAGAATGGAGGAAGTGGTGAGTTAATTGTTATCAAGTGCATTATAATGGTACTCTTTTCTAGTTGGAATCCACCATTTTTCTGTCTAATTCTTGATTATTTTTCAGGAACTAACACAACAATTGGCACATTTTTTAAGTGAAATGTGATTTATTAAGCCTGCATGTGAGGAGCATGCTAAGTGCCAAGATGTCAGGCAGAATGTCACAAGATACTGATAAGTCTTCCAAAGATGGAAAAATATTGCTCAAGAGAAATACTCTTAGAGAATAAGGTCACAGTGGTAAGCTGATTTCTCTACTGATAATGTCTTTAGATGACAGGATGGTAAAAGATGGCTGAAATTGAGAGAGGACTGTGAGAGAATGAAAGTAGGATAATGTTTGCTCCTAACTTTTATCAGCTTTGCTCAAAAAGATATTCTTTAGTGCTCAGCCAGAGATACGCATAGCCATCACTCTATGTGCTGGCATGATTGGTGTCTTTTCTCTGAATTAATCCAGAGAGAACTATAATGTGCAATGGCAACTTGAACATCCAATCTTAGTACATATATCAAGGACATCTTTCTATTTATGTTGTTCAACTATGCTTGAAACTACTCTTCATTAAGGAACTTCACAAAGATTGACTCACAAAAGAAGTTGCCTTTCAGGCAGTGCCACTTCCCTGTCACAATTCACCATTAACTTTGGTAGAACAGCTTGCATTTGCTTCAGTGAGTCAGACACACCTGGACTACTTTAGAAGGAAATGACAATTTGTCTTTCTTTGTTCAGAGATAAAGAAAACCCCCTTTAAATAGATTCACAAGAAAAAGTTGGGGAATTGGTAAAACAACCCTAGGGTTTTTGGTTTAGTTTTATTAAATTTATTTCTCAAAGGAAGCTAAATTCTAGATGGAAGTCTTGTCATGAATGTCCTTTATTATTATTAATTATTATTTTAATGAGCTGTTCAGCAATGCAGTCAGGATAGACATTTTCAAAAAGCCTGAGCTAGCAGAGTGTGGTGGTTCATGCCTATAATTCCAACTTTTTGGAAGGCTAAGGTGGAAGGATTGCTTGAGGCCAGGAGTTTCAGAACAGCTTGGGCAACATAGAAAGACACTGTCTCAAATAAATAAATAAATAATCTTTTCAAAATTGCTGAGCGGATTGGTTGATTGGTTAGGAATGGAAAACAAATGTTCACACCCACCAATGCATCTTACACAGGAGGCTCCCCTCCCTGCCAACGGTAACCCTCTTTCTTCAGCTCCACTATCTTCTCACAATAGTATTCTGGAGTCACAAATCTGCTTTCTCCACTCTTTCTTCTCTGTCTTCTTTCTCACGGAGGTATGAAGATTAAAAATTGATCTGTTGTTTGTGTTTAAAATCTGCTGTCCAGTTCATACAGAAGCAGATAAAGGTGTCTCATTGCTTTTCTGGATCATTCTACATAGTATCATGCTTCTCAAGATTTGGATGTGATTCATTTCGTAGCACAATAAAACTCAAACACTCTCAGGAGGCTTGCACTATGGTTGGCAAATGAAATCAAGCCCAGAAATATGAGAAGTGTCTGAATTTTCTTTTAGGGAAAGGAGTATTGAGTGGGAACCAGACTTTCTGAGGCATAACTTCAGTTCTAGGATTAATGCACTGTTTCATCAGGAGTTAGAGCTCACCATTTCTCTAAAATGAAGAGGCTGGATTAGATTATTTCTGACAGCTATTCCAGGCTTAAAAGTGATTTCTAATTATAATATATTTGGGAAAAGTTCACAACTTGGTCATTTCTCTCAAATGACAGCATCTGACACATAAGATGCTCACAATAAATATTCATCAGAAGAACAGATGTGTGGATGGATGGATAGATGGATGAATGGCTAAACAATTTAAGTGCTTATTGTTAGCATTAATTACATTATTAGCAACTCTTGGCCTCTTGGCTTAAAATAGCCCATGAGTTTAGAAAATTGTTTCCATTCCTTGCTCTTTGTAAGCTCTTCCAGGGGCTAAAACTTTACAGAGAACTGTGATGGTTAATTTTTTGTGTCAACTTGATTAATTTGTGGTGCTCACTTGCTTGGTCAAACACCTGTCTAAATATTGCTGTGAAAGTATTTTTTTATATGTGATTAACATTTAAATCAGTAGGCTTTAATGAAAGCAAATCATCTTCCATAATGTGAGTCACCTCATCTAATCAATATGAGACAGCCATGCATAAAGTGGTTCCTGGAGAAATTCTGACCAGCCTGTACACTGGGAGAACATGGTAGAGCCATGGAAGTTCACGCCCTTTGCAAGGGGGAGGATCCTGGTCTTTCCTGTTCTGGAGTAGAAACTGGAATTCAACCTGTGAGGTGGGAAGCCTATTAGCAGGACTCTGTCTTTGCTGAAAGTCCCTGTATCACTATTTTTTCCTTTTTCCGCAATAAACCCTGCCTTTCTCATCCTTCAAAGTGTCTGTGAGCCTAGTATTTCACGGTCATGTGACAAGGACCCAGTTTTTAGCAGAACTAAGAAGAAAGTTCTATAACAAAATGATGACCTTAAGAGCAAAGTCTGTGGTCCCCCAAGGAGGAAGGAATTCTATCTCCAGACTTCCTTCAGACTGGAACTGCAAAATCAACCCTTCCTTGGGTCTTAGACTCTTGACTTACAAAATTTGGGTTTGTCAGCCCCCAAAATAATGTAAGCCAGTTTCTTAAAACCACTCTGTCTTTCTTTTTCCCCTACTCCAATTTCTATTGGTTCTATTTATCTTAAAGTCCTTTCCTATTACAATACCTATATATGTTTTTGACAAGAGAGGCATGGTTAGTATGTGTTCTTATTTGGATGCTCAAAATATCATTCCATTAGCTTTAAAGGATATAGTATCTCACCTTCTGTAGCATCTTGCTGCTACATCCACTTTCTGTGACATCTCATTCCCTGTAACCTCTTGCTGCTACATCTACGTCCAATTGCATCTCACTTCCTATGATATTTTACTGCTACATTTACTTCCTGTAGCATCTCACTTCCTGTAGCATTTCATTTCCTGTAGCATCTCACTGCCTGTAGCATTTCATTTCCTGTAGCATCTCACTTCCTGTAGCATCTCACTTCTACATCCACTTCCTTTGTATCTTATTTTCTATAGTATGCTGCTGCTATGTCCATTTTCTGGCTTACAACAATGTTTGGGTCATTAATCTCAACCTTTTCTACCTCATTTATTCTTCCTTGTGAAAATTAAAAACCACAACAAATGTTTGTTGTTAGTAAAAGAAGTCAGAAAAAGACTCCCGCTTGAACACCAGTGGCAATCCATTCAAGGAAAAATAAGGTAGGAAGATTTATCTCTATGATCAAAGATCATTTAGTTCTGCATCTCCAGCATCAAGCAATGTATGAGACATAGAGGGTCCTCAATGAAATTCTGTGAAATTAATGGATGTGATGGCTTCAAGTTTTGTTTGAGTTAGTCTCTCTTCTTTCATTATTCCTCTTCATTTTTAACCTTTCCTTAGGCTCCTCATCAACTTTTTCCTCTTGTCCTTTAAGGGTAAAATTGTTTTTAGTGTTTGGAACATATCTTTTTCTCCACTTTACTTTATAAACCCTTGTGGGCTAATCTCATCTACCTAGCATATACAGTTAGATTTTTAAACACTATTTCTATTCCCACATTCCTTAAGAGCTCTAGAATGTCTCAGGGAATCCCCATACCTAAAATGAATTAATAACTCCCTAGCTCTTTCCTCGTAAGTGTGGGTATTGCTGTGTTAGTGATTATAACATTGTGTCACAAATGTTGTTTTTAATCTCTTGCCCATCGCTAGCGTACATTTTCCTGGAAAATAGGAAATGTTCAGGATTTAGTACACAGTACAGTTTATTTAACATGCAGCTGGTTAATTGATTATGTAAGTTGATTATATTCATATGTCTGAGCTTTCTTTGCAAATAACAGATTTGATGGTTATGTATATAGGTGAAAATGGATATATTTAAGGAACAATATTCACAGAGAGCCATGACAATAATTCCTATTTAAAGTGTAAAAATTCACAAAATATAGGCACAATAATAGCTATAAATGTCAAAGATCATGCCAAATTCATGTGTATTGCACCAATATATTGAGGTGTTTGGATGACAATACTGAGTGATGGCACTATTTTAGATAAATTGGCTGTTATAAAAGGACCATTTTGAGGGACATTCCTACGTTCCTACGAGTAAATAGCCTTCCTACTACAGAAGTAGACACTTAACATAACGTGAGTTTCTTTCTGAACATTAATTTATTTGTCACAACAAGCCTGTGGGGTAGATATAATGCCCCTGTTAAACCTGAGTTTCTGCAATATTAAATAGCTAACTTGTGGTTTCAGAGCATTTAGATGGTAGAATTGTGCTCTCCACTGCTTTGTGTCTAAGATCAAAGCTTGGTATGATCTGTTCTTCTTGGAAGCCTCATAGAGACATGGTCAGGGCTGCTGTCATTCTAACCAGGCAGTAGCTCCACAGGGAGATGGATCACGCATTCATTTTGTTTTCTCTCTTCACAGCATTGGACACAGTGCCATGTATTTGAGAAGTACTCAGCAATCGTATTGCATGTTTCCAGGTCTGATAGACCCTGGGCTATCTTCCAAAGTCGCCACCTGTGTGCGATGACTTGTGTAATTTACTTCTTATGATTGCTCAATTTTGAACTGCACAATCTTTTTTTGATGTTGCATCCATTTTCTATTTAGATCTATAGTGATAGACAGATAGATATAGATGCAGACTTATTTTTGTTCTCTTTATACTGTACTTGGACCACATAAATCTGGACATGGGAGTGGAGAGAAAAGGGTAGGAAATGCACTGCCAGCAGGCAGAACATGAGACCCGGTATGTGTCCCCAGTTAAAGAATATTGAGTCAGTCTGTTCTAACTCCTTTACAGAACTGCCAGTCATCAGAGAGAAGACTTTCTT